CTCTATTATTAGCACAACACTGCAGTCAGTTTGTCCAAGACTGATCTCAAAGGGAGAGCGAGAGCTTACCCGTACCAGCCAACGCTGGATGCTCTCCATCCTGACAGAGAGCCAAGGACACGCTGCTCCATGGTAGAGTGCTTGCCCACCCTCAAGGAGAGGCAGCCCAGCCCTTGTTGCATAAGATGACTATTAACAACGACCTTTGGATGATCCTACATCCTCACCGGGGCCAAAGGCTATTCCCAGAGTCTAGCTCATGTGCACAAAGAGATCCCTGTCCTTTTCTTCCCTTTCCCACCCCCTCACAACCTCTTTATTCCCAAGGAACTAAATATACATGGGGAAAAAACAACCTACTCATGCAGGTCTCCATTGCTGTTAACAGGCAGATGCAATTTTTCCACTCTGAGCATGGAACACCAGCTCTATTGGGAAAAGATAACTCACGCCTTCCCACAGACACTTTCCTTGGGCTGGTCAGCCTTCCACACCACGTGCTGATTTGGCAGAATACTTCCAGCCACCCCAGCCTTTTATCTCCAATTCAGAAACGTAGCTAGGGTGGGAGAAGGAAGAGAAGAAGCCTCTCTGAGGTCTCCCTAAAGCTTTCTGAGGATGCTAGAGGTGGCAGCCCGTCTTGGAGCAGCACACGCATCCCATGCGCTAGGAGAACAGAAGCTGACTCTAACCACACAAACCTAATGAAAAGAAGTATCAGAAAAGACTAGTTACAACTTTGTTTTTTTGAGGACAGTCAAAGCAATTCAACAAATGGAGTGTTTAGGAGCTTTGCCTCAATTCTAGGTATAATTTGACTTTCTTTTTTTTTGCATTTTCTTTTCCAGGCCTTCAACTTCCGCACAGACAGGCCTGCTAAGTCACAGACCCAGCCTCCCAGCCTGCTCCCATGCATGAGACCACGTAAGCACAGCTGATGGCCCACCCTGCCAGCGCCCAGCAGGGCTAACGGGACAAAAGCAGCAGCCTGAACCCAAAGGAGAACACCAAGCACATCCCTTCTCCCAGGCTTCTCACCATATTGAATTCAAGTCACATCGCCCACATAACATTGTGACCGTCCCTCTGGCGCGTTACTGCTAATATTAGCACGGCGGTTGGGTCTCAGCATCTGCAGCACGCAGGCGGCAGCTGCTGCCCTTGCAGCAGGAATGCGAGCCCTGCACGGCCTCGGGGACGAGCCGCAGCCACGCAGCCCAAGCACAGCCCACGCATGTGCTCGAGGAGATTTTAAGGGCTTCAGGGACAAGCCCATGAGATTCACACATGGGAAAACGCTGATTATTTAACATGGAACCCTTCGGAAAACAACCCGGCTTCCTGCTTTAGTCTTGAATGAACCTTTAAAACCACAGCACAACTGAGGACCTCACGGAGCCTGTACTGAAACACTGTGAGTGGCGTGTGGTGGGCAGCACAAGAAGCATGTGGCAGTGAAGTGTCCAACACCAGAGAAGTGGAAGAACTCTTCCCGTCCAGAGCGGAGGGCACTGGCCGGCCTGGGAGGCTCCCGGCCCTTTTCAACACCCAGCTCCACTGCAGCTCATGACTACCACGACGGCAGTAGGATTGCATGTTGACAAGTTCCACCAGTGGTGTCCCCCACACTGGCTGCCAGGGCAGTTCACCTTTGCAGTGTTATCCCAGATCTTTCACAAGATCCAAGTCTAGACTTAGACTAAGGCAAAAGAATAAGTCAGCAAAAGCTCTTTGGAGGATTAACCACTGTCAGGGAAGGCTTCCTTGTGGTTTCTGCCAAAGCAAAGCTATGAACCTTTGTGTTCTACCCAGCCAATTACGTTCTACTCCACTACGCTACCCTGCAATTTCAGGCGATTACAGCACCACGCGGCATTTACTGTCATGTGTTGTCTGCATCTGCCACAAAATTCTGAGCTCCGGCATGATTGCAAAGAATCGAATCCGGTGTCAACTGACATCATTGGCAGAGAGCGCTCGGCATCATGGCTGCCAACTCATCAGCAGCAATTCCCAGCAAAAATGAGCCTCAATTAGCCCTGTGATTGCGTTAGGGAATAGGCATGTTCCCACAGAGGGAGGGCCAAAGCCGCAGGTCGCTTTTCTTTCTCTTCAAGAAGTGCACGCGACAGCCTGCGTGTGCCATGCTTTCAAATCCTCAACAAACAAAGCACAAGCATCCCACTCTGGAGTTATCTCTGGCCATGATCACAAGCCACCAGAGATGCAAGTTGCTTAATCTTCAGGATCCCACGAGGTCTACAGTGAGTGCCTAAGATGCTGGCATTATAGGATCACTCAATTGGAGCATCATCAGGGCAGTCTGGTGGCTGCACACACAGTTAAAGCCCTGCCCAGGAATCCCACCGCCTGGTTTGAGTACTGCAATGGGCTCCCTTCCACACTGCTCCCAGGTATGTATTTTGGATTATGGAAGGGAAGTTGGCTGCAGGCCTCTCTGCTGCACCACAAGGTTGGCCGCCCCAGGGCACTGCTCCATTTCAGAGCAGCCCTGACAGTCTGAGGGCAGACGTGAGCGTGGGAAGGACTGGCGCAATCAAGGCTGCACCAACGACATTTCAGAAGACCTGCCAAAATCTTTAAACCCAGAAGAGAAACTATTAAGTCCCGCAAATCTTGGCAAATCACAGACCTAATATTGCTCTCCTCTTAATAAAGAGGAGGAAGCTCTTGCCAGACAAATAAGCAGGATTAGTGTCTTCACTGCTGTACCTGTCCGCCCTGTGAGAAGTGGAAATATTGCTAACTGGCCAAAGCAATCACCTCCCTTGCATCACTGGACATAAGGAAGAGCACATACAATCTGCTGTGCTATGTTGCCCCTTGATACGTTGTTGTGATTTGGAAACTAAGCTCTAGTTGAATATTTTGCCCTCCGTTGCATGCTCCACAGGTCACTAAGGGTGACAGCAGCAAGTCCAGTTGGGTCTGTTCCTCTCTACCTTCTGTGCTCCAGCAGCTAAATGAAACCTGTTGGTCCTACCTCTGGAAGAGACGCTAAGAGAAAGTTAGGCAGGAACCATCGCGTTGATTCGGAAAGGCTAGTGGCAGGTAAGAGCAAAGAGGGCACTGCCTGCTGGATGAGCTGGTGTTTCTGCCTCATGGTGTTTTGGGCTGATCTTTCCGGCTTGGCCATGGGCTGGTTCAGGCTGAGATACCCACCCAGCAGACCGGAGCGCTACATCTACTGCCCCACACACCAGAAATTAATGCTGCTGCTCTCGGGAAGCTGCTGTGCAGCTGATAAAATTGTGAAACAGGAGCCTGGATCCCTGTTCAAGGGCAAGGCCAGACCTTTGGTTGTAGGTACACAGAGCTTCTCCATACACAGGCAGGAACTTCGTAGTGCTCTATGGGTCGAAAATCTTACTGCGAGCAGCTTCATGCCATGGAGGAACGTACACATCCCGGAACAAGCCAACAAGGGCTCAGAGCAGAGCCTTTACCATATTCAAGCAGAGAATTACTCCCTTTCAGGGATTTAAATACAATTGGAGCAGACAAAAAAGGGCTGTAATTACATCAGCATTCGAGAGCACTGCAGCCGGGAGGCCGGCAAGTCCCCAAAGGGCAGTTACAAACGCGCCGCGGAGCCAAGAGCACAAAACCGATCGCCGACCCGGGCCGCTCTCTATGCTCAGACTGTCATTAGTCGCTACCTCCATGTGTCCCCCCGTGCCCTCCACCCCCGGTGCTCCGTCACCACTCGGGCTGTGCGCAACAACGCGGGGGCTCAAGAAGAAAGCAAAGATGGACGGAGCTGGACGTTACAGCGAGAGCAGCAAACTGGGACTCAGAAGTGCGCTGAGTTCCCAGCTCTGCCACACGTTTCCTGTATGACCTGGAAGAGGAATTATTGTGCTTTCAGCTTCCCCATCTACAAAGCAAGAAAAACAATACTTTGCTCCTTCCCAGAGCTTCCCAGGACTGAGCTTGCCAGGAGGCAGGGAAGTTATCTCAACCCACAGCCAGACCCGCAGACCCTGTATAAGTTTTCATCACAGTACCCTCTATTTTTCTTGTTTTTTTTTTTCTTTTTTTCTTTTCTTTTTTCCTAAAGGCCACCATAAGAAGCTCAGCTTGGACAACAGCCAAGATGCGCGAACGCGCGTGCACAGGGACGGAGCTGCTTCGCCAGAACTCTGCTCCGTTCAGGAAGACGAGCTCCCTGAGCAGTTTTCCACGTCCTCTCCAGGGCAATCCCCTCGCTCATCCACCCGCCTCCAACTTGTTTCTTGGGGAGCAGCTCGACTCAGCCTTTCACGTCCTTCGCTGCTCGGCCAGCGCGTGGGGCAGAGCCAGAGCCACCCCACGGGAAGGGATCCCCTCCGGCGCGGCAAGGGGGCTGCACGGAGATCCTGCGCAGCAGAGCGCTGCGGCGCTCTGGAGCTCCTGGAACTCTGCCCCAGGACGAGCGAGAGGCTTTCGAGGGCGGCAGCTCCCGCTATGGATGTTTTGGAAAACTAGACTCATCACCCATCGCGCAGCTCCGTTCTAGCTGCGCTCACATCTAGGAATCTGGAACCAAGAGCAAGGCCCTCGCCTGGCGGATGCACAAACTTTTTAATGTGGCAGTCGCACATAAATAAATAAATATAAATGCAGGCAACTTGGAAAGGCAGGAAGAAAAATACCCTGCGAGGTCCTGCTCCGAACAAAAGGCACCAGCGTGCAAACGGCAGGGCGGAAAAGCGTCCCGTCCCGTCCGGAGCGCGGGGCGGCAGCTGCGGACCCCTCTGCGCCCCGGCGGGGTCACAGCCCGTCCCCGCGCTGCCGGGGACCGCTCCCGCCGGCCACACCGACCCCGCGGGCGCGTCCCCGCCACGGAGGAGCGGGGGCCCCGCGCCCCGTCCCCCGCACCCCGCCGGGCAGCGGCAGCTCCCGCCCCGTCCCCGCAGCGCTCCAACAAGCGGCTCCCCGCTCTCTCCGCGCCCGCGGCCAGGACCCCCGCTCCGCTCCCGCGGCGCCCCCCGACCCACCTTCGAAGTCGGAGATGATGCCCTCCAGGTGCGCGTTCACGGCCGGGTCGGCCATGGCCGGGGCCGCGCGGAGCCCGGGCGGGTGCGCGCAGGAGCCGCCGCCTCCCGCGGCCGAATGAATGGAGGGGGTGGGAGCGGCGGCCCCGGCCCGGCCCGGCCCGGCCCGGCCCGGCCTCCTCGCCGCGCACTGGCTGCGCCCCGCGCCCGTCACCCCGCCCCGCGCCGCCAGCGCTGCCGCCGCGGGGCCTGGACACCCCCGCTGCCTGGCACGGGACACGGGGCACGCAGAGGAACGGGGTGCCTCGCCCCGGCCATGCTGCGGACTGCTCATAAACCCCCTTGCTTTGCCATCCTCTGCTTTGCCATCCTGCGCTGCCTCCGCCTTTGCCAGGGAAACAGCAGCTCCATCGCCCCCTTCTCTTCCCTCAACTGCCCCCTCCACCACTCAAACCAAATCGCTAATACCCATGCCCTCCAAACGCTTTCTGCAGGCGAAGGGAGGCATTGAGCACAGAGCAAGATGAGCAGAACAGGACGAGCAGAACAGGAAAGGCTGCAAATCCTGCACGGAACCAGAGCGAGCACTGAGGCAGCGAGCGGGGCTGAGCCCTGCTGCTGCGGCCACGCTCCACTCCATCCGAGCTCCTCTCCATCCGAGCTCCAAGCTGAGCACAAGCTCCACACGCCTATGCCAGCCTCAGGCTCTGCTGCACAGACTTACCTCCCCGTCTCTCCATTTACGCAGTTTAGGCGCCGGTTCTGCCTTCCCAGGTTCACTCAGACGCTGCTTTTCTGACCCTCTACCTTTCTATCCGCCCATCTCGGGCTTCAGTAGCGTCACTGGGGGGTTGTTACTGCCCACTGAACGCGATAAGAGCCAAAGAGCCAAAAGAACCGCACAGGTTTTAATCCACCTAATGGTTCACCCAAAGAAAAACTATGCGAAGCAGGAGGACACCTCTGTTACTGCAGGAGGTCAGCGTTTCATCGCTTATTTTATACTTTTAATTTTACAGCCCTCCCACTTCCAAACTCTACTCACCCCCCAGGCTTTCAGCAGTGCATGTGAACCAGAAAATGAAACCAACTGCAACCATTTCATAACCTCGAGAACAAGCAGAACGGCAACGTTGACCTAGGCTTCCCGTGCTGTTAACAGCTTAAGGTTTTAATCCAAGGAAAGCTTATTATTTTTAAGCATGAGAGCCATTTAAATAAGCTGAGTAACACACCTTTAAAAGAGATGCATGGTGTTAGACCGTGCGGTTTTCCTCCTCCACTCACAAAAAATTAATGCTGATCTCTTTAGATAAAATGCTTAGCAACATCAGAAACCAATATACCGCAGCAGTTCAGAGCGGGGCACTCTCCGTGCCATCACAGGCTTAGATATAGAGACATATTAGATATATAAATTCATAAATGTGTCACCATATGACTGTTGTTTAGCAAGACATAAGCACAAGCCTCCCTGAATGTGCCTAGTACCCCAATTGTTCCAGATTTCTTGGACTAGAGCAGGAAAGAAGCTGGATTTGCAGCCAGGACTGCTCGTTTCGGGGCTTTGGTTGGGTCTTTGACCTTCTCATGTCCACACGTGGCCTTTGGTGACTGCTGCTGCTGTACCCAGCACCACAAACGGGTTGACCTGCTCCAGAGGCCCCCACGTTGAAGGAAAGTGGGTTTCTTTCTTTTAAGTGGTGTTGTGTGAGTCAGATCCACGATCTATTCCAAACGGGCAAAAACATCACTATTTATTGCTAGTTAGTAAGGGAGAAAAAGCTGCTTTTCTAAAATCTGGTGATGATTCCCTTGTTGGAGCTCTGTTACCTGGATTAGACTCCTACAAAGGCGGTCTAAGAATCATAAACCTCTGCACTGTCATCACAAGGTTGCAGATTGTTCTTAAAGGAGGAGAAATGAACTAAGCAAGAAAAACTAAAGATCAACATTTTACAAAAGAGAAAAAACGACAGGCTCCATCTCAGGAAGGACTAAGCACATCTTTTAATGGTCAGAGACACAGGGAAGAGTGTTGCACTGGGATGAGGGCTCTGCTTTTGACATCACTAGAGGCAATAAGTGCTAAACCACTAGAAGAAACTATAACCTGATTTTCTCTGATTACAGACTATCAGGACATCTGCCTGTGTTAGGATGCTCAGAGCTTTGCAGCACAAGAGTTTCAGAGAGTTTCATGACGCTGGGTCGCTTTGCATTCCCTAAACAAAGCCTGTGTTATCCTCTTGCATCTGCTGTCTGCTTCTAATAAAGGTGCAGCAAGCTGACAGGCCTAGAGGACACCCCCAAGAAGTGTAAAATAAAATGTCTTGGGTATAAGTGTTCATTCTCATTAAAATCAGCTGCCAGGACAGCAAATAGTGCGCCCGTTTGCACCTGAGGCTCTGAAAAGGAGAGAGGAAAATGGAAAATTACAGCAAACTAATGAATAACAAGAATATCCAGAGCTCTAATAACAAATATTTTAAATAGGAAGATATGTAAACAGCTCACCCAAGTGCCTAACCCAAGCTCCTGCTACTTAGAGGAGGAACAAGCTTTTCTCGAGAGAAGATAAGCCCATAGCTCTCTCCTGGAGATTTTCTTGCACTTTTATCTGATTTCGCTTCTCTCAGAGGCATAGCTTTACCATGGGGCTTTAAGACCAAATGAATCATTCAGGCACCAAGTCTGCACGTATTAGGCTCGGTAGCGTTTCCTCTGGTTTGTCACCTTTCTTCTGAGCCCTCAAACTTGTGTTCGGCAAAAACTTTTCTTCTTGAAAGGTGAAAACTTTGCAGATGAAGATGGAGAACCCAGTCCCAAAGGATGGAGAATCTACCACTTTCCCTGCAATCTCTTCCAGGGGTTCATCATCAGCATATCAAAAGCACTGCTCATCCAAATGCAATCTTGGCACAGGCCCTGTTTCACCCTTGTCTAGCAGGTTGAGAAGATTAGGACCCTGAATCTTCTCCTGATGAAAGCTCTCCCACACTAATCAAGTCAACTATCTTCCTTTTGATGAACTAATCAGGTTTCGCTTCTTTGCGCCTTGTGTCAGGTATTTTCTCCAGTCCCTTAGTCTTTTTTTTTTGTGATTTTTCTTACTCCTTTTCCCCCATTCATCACAAATGTTTAGTTTTGTTTCTCTGTTTTTAACATGAAGATCTCTATTTTTTAAAACAATTTTTAAAATAAAGAGAATATCGAATACCTGGATTCTCTTGTGCCATACACCACATAAAAATCACATCTCCCCTGTTGTTTCCTGGATTACAACCACTCCTCAGGTAATCCAGGGCATGCAGCTTATTGACCGCCTGTGCCTTTTCTCGTTTCCCATCCTCTGCTTTTAGCTGAACAGAAACCCTCCCGTGATGCTGTTTTGTTGGCCTAGAAGGGAGTTTCAGTCTCTGTGAAAGCAGCCTGTACAACAGGAGATCACCAACTTTAAACCAGCATGGTCTGATGATACGCTGCACTTGTAAGTAGCCTTGACCCTTGCTCCTTAGCTTATCTTTACTCCAGTGGTCACTACTACCTTAAACGGAGTCTTGACTTTTTAAAATGCCTTCTCTAAACGTGTCTGTCTTCTGGCACGTGCTTCTCCCAGGCCCCATAAGGTGCTTGGCTGAATATCTGCAGCTGAACTAGCTGCTTCCACCTTCCCCAAGAGGCTGACACGAGGCTGTTCTCCATACCTGTCACTTCACACGCCAGATGTTGTCCACGTGGCCGCCTGACGCCTGCACGCCTTGCAAGGACATCCACCCTTTCTAGTGCAGATTTTGGCAAGGGCATCCAACTGTCCAAAGCACTCCACGCTCAGGTTAAACAAACAGTTGTGTTAGCTCTCTGCCCACGAGCTCAAGAGGTCCTCCAGGCCCTCCAGACAAGGGTGGCCCTCACAGGCTTCTCCAAAGCCCAGCAGAGCCTCCCTGGGAAGCAGCAGGCGCTGGTTGCTGCTTCTGCTGCAACGTCAGGCTTGGTGGACCATGAACTGCCCGTTGATACCGAGAAGACAGGAAGTTGCTTCAAGAAAAGGAGCAGCGAAAGGAAAATAAACCACAAGCACATGGAAGGTGTCAGCATTAAAAGACACTTTTGCAAGTCAGGCTAAGGCAGACGAGATTTTTTTTTTATATACACAGATTTTGAACAGCGCTGTAGTTTGTTTGCAGGAGACCAAGAATGCAGTTTTCAGGCAGATTTTCTTCCTCCCACAAGTCAAGGTTTTTCTGAACCCTCACTGCTCTCTTATCACACTCACAATCTACTGCAGGCATAAGCGGAGGCTCACTTAGACTACACAGCATTAGTCACTGTGGCTACGCGAGTCTTAAATTATCTAGCACAAGAAAGCAAGTAAATTAATCCACATCATCTTCCTTTTCCTCTTCTCCTAGTTTAATTAGAAAACAGAACCCTTTGTGAATTGGAGCCTCCTCTATAAAATACTTTGAGACTTACTCATCAGGATTGCTACAGAGGAGCACGTAAGTATCCTTATTAACAGCCCAATGTCTCCACCGGAAATGCAAAAATCTTTTTATTGCTGAGTTGAAGTTGCTGCTGGCGACTGATGCAACGTCCTTCTCAGCCTTTCAGAGGAGGTCCACGAAGCAGACGGAGGCTCTTGCACGGTGCAGAATTAGCCCTTCTGCCATCCACGGTGTCCCTGCAGGATCACTTCACAGCTAGCCACAGAGCAACATGCATGGGAGCATCCAGGTGGCTTTTGTCCAGAGGGTAGCATCAATTAGGGAAACATATAAAAATACTATATAATATATAATAATATAGCTATAACTGGAAAAAAAAAGAGAAAAAAGTGGGGAAAAAAAGCAGATTCTGAAGGTGATGGAATGGCAAGCAACATCTCTTCTTTAGAAAGAAAAACAAAAGTTTTTGCAATTACCAACACGTAACATTTTTGTAAATATCAACATATAAAGCCTTCTGCTTGTGTGCTCCCTGCTCCCGAGTTATAATGCTTCTGTCCCCAAACATTTCTGTTCATAAACCCCACATAAAAAGATGTTAAAATCTCCACTTTGCCCAATCTCCACTTCGAAGCAGGGAGAACTGAGGCGCGTAGCACCCACCCCTCTGAAAGAGCAAGCTGGCAAGGAAGAGGCTTTTAGGAAGCTCAGGTTC